ACGGATACCGGTAGCCGCGTCGGTCGTCAGCCCTTTTTTGCTTTAGGTGTATGGTTAGGGGTTAGGATTAGGGTTAGTTAGGGTATGTTTAGGGTTAGGCGTTAGGGTTCTAGCCTCATCTAAACTCTCAAATCGGTGAATTCTATTTCCCAAGGCAGTTATTTCGAAATCTAGCCGCCACCGCGCATCTTTGCGCCTCGTTAACTATGAAAAGCGAATGGACTTCCCGACCGCGTAGCCTCGAGACATTAGATTACGGCTACCTACCGTACCACTGCCCTCGGTAAAAACGGTTTACGTATGACATTTATATGACACGCACAACCAACGTAGAACCCCTGAACCATAATAGAATATCGCGGTAAATAGAAAAAGTTTATTCAACACATTTACAGACATGGGTCTGCACTTGCATTTGAAAGCCTCTTGATAAAACAATGCCGTCGTAACACACGGCACTTGTAAGCGTTTCTTCACTGTAAACCACGACACGCCGCCATTGCGCGGCACACTGACACATATCCTGGTTGTGCTGTCGTAGTACTCGGTTCGGTTTCACAATCAACCAGCAAGCTCATGAAGAGTGATCGTTTTTCTCGTGTGCCAGCACCCTGTATCAGTCAGTGCTGACATTTGTGAAGATTCACCGAATTGAGGGGGTTTTGACGATTTTCGTGGAGTTTACGTTTGATCCTCGGGACGTGCTGCGCGGGTAGGGGGCGCCACTGTACGGTGCTCGTGCGTGGTAGGGGACGTGCTGCGCGGGTAGGGGGCGCCACTGTACGGTGCTCGTGTGTTGTAGGGGGCGTGCTGCGCGGGTAGGGGGCGCCGCCGCTGTACGGTGCTCGACGTGCTTGCAGGAGGCGTGCTGCGTGGGTCTGGAGTCGGCGATGAAGGAGGGAGACTGCGTGATCTCGGCGTACCGTATCCACGGATGGACGAACACGCGCGGCGCCAGCGCCCACAGCGTCATCGCAGAGCTCACAGGTGACCGCGGCGGCGGCGGCGGCGGCCGCGGCGAGTCGCGCCCACGGGCGGCGACACCTGGTGGCGATTCCCACCGGGTCCTTCCCGCCGACGTCCGAGAACGATAATTGTCGTTTGAGTCGGCGGCGGCGGCGGCGCCGCCTGGTGATTGCGTCGGCTAGGTGGGATGCCGTCGTTTTCGTTGTCGGCGGAGACGATGGCGCCACCGCGCGCGCGGCGTTGAAACTCGTCCGCGCTCGCTTGCTGGCTCGCCCGCCGCGAGATAGTTCCGCTGACGCTCAACGCCGCTTGTTTTTTGTTTCCGGCGCGCGCCACCAGGAGGCGTGCTGCATAGGCTTGAAGTCTTCGCTTAAGGACGGTGATTGTGTGATTGCGGCTTATCGCACGCATGGCTGGGCGTACTGCGTGGGGGTGTCAGCGCTCGGCGTAATAGCCGAGCTGACAGGTAACGCCTCTACCGCGGCTGGCTGCGGCTCTTCCGTCTGGTGTCTGCACCCCTGCTTTTCGGGCTTTGGGCTTTCTATGCTGCTGCTGTGAATGATTGAGTGTGTGAGTGAGTGCGTGCGTGCGTGTGTGCATGGGAGTGCGTGTGAGTGTGCGTGCGTGTGAGTGTGCATGCGTGTGAGTGTGCATGCATGTGAGTGCGTGTGAGTGTGCGTGCATGTGAGTGTGCGTGCATGTGTGCGTGTGTGTGTGCGAGCGTGAAGATTGTATCCATCTCTGCTGCGCACTACTCTGTGACACTGCATTCACATCTTTCAGTGCATCTCTTCATCTCGCTATCTCTCTATCTCTATCTCTATCTCTTCATCTCGCTATCTCTCTATCTCTATCTCGCTATCTCTCCGTGTCTAGCACAGATCACCATTGTATTATTTTCACATTACTGGTTGTAGTGGAGTTCTATACGTAGTGTTGGTGTGCGTGTATCCCTGTTGATTGCAGTCGATGCAGTCGAATATCGTATATCGTATATAATATACATACATATATATCAGGGGTTAATAAAGACAATTTGTCTTTCTTTTGATTGATGTTGCCCGTCATCGATAGCTGGTGGCAAGTGATAGCGATTTATAAAATTTATAATGACTTAATTAATATTTTATTATCTTAATCGATATTTTAAAAATCGACGAATTTATATGTGATTTATAAGGACAGAGAGTATTTGTTGGCTTATTAATATTATTATTATTACTATTATGATTTATTATCGCATTGTTTTCGTTTAAACCACTATTATTCCCGGCCAACGCACGCACGGCGATCGAGCGCTCTCTTGTTTCCCGTCTCCCGACGCAGCCTAGAGCGGGAACAAGAGAGCATGCGAGCATGGAGACAGGTGTGAAGATGATGGCGGGGTTGAGTCGTGTGTGTGTGTGTGTGTCACGCAGGGAGAGCGACCGGCTGTGTGTCAGGAAAAGGCGGATCGATGCACATGTACTACAAGAACTTCTTTGGTGGCAACGGAATCGTGGGTGCGCAGGTACGTATGTGCGTGCGTGCACGCTCTCGTTCTCGCGCTCTTTCTTTCTCTCTCTGTCTGTCTCTCTTTCTCTCTGTGTCTGTCTCTCTCTCTCTCCCTCGCTCGCTCTCTTTCTTTCTCTCTCGCTCTCTTTCTCTCTCTCTCCCTCTCTCCTCCCCTCCCTCCCTTCCTCCCTCTCTCCCTCTGATTTGAACTGCGGGCGCTGGATTTGAAATGGAATACGTTATTGAATGTATTTATATGTATAAAAACGTTACAGAAGTTATAAAATTTGACTTCAATTGTCCTTTAAGGATACTGAAAGTTTTAAGAAAAATTTTACCAATTTTTTATTTTCAACTTTATTCGATGGCTAACATTGTGTGCCACCTGTGTACATGCTCATTTCTCCATATATTAAATAATACATGTGAACTGTCAGAGCATTTTGCTTGCCCGCGTACATGTGTAGTGAGCCGCGGCTGACGTCATGATGATACAACCAGCATTTTCACGATATTCACTGAGCCAGTATCCATCAACATCAACCCTGCTACTACCTGTACTACTACCCTGATTCAACAAGTATCCCACAAGAGCCTTAAATAGTTCTCACACCTCGCAACGCACCTTACATAAGGCGCGTGTTTGTTGACAGTGACGTCAGGCAATGGGCGGGTTCGCACCATTTTGCATGGAATTGCGTTGGTCACCTCGTAATTTCTCAGAATTTCTCAAGGTGCATGGAACATTTTACCAATTTAGTAGTGTCAGTTAGTCATGGATATGTCGCAGTAAGTACTAACAGTAACAGTAGATATTTCACATACAGACGTGCACCCATTTTTCACACAGGCGGTCGGTCATTGTGAAAAATAGAAGAAAGCTGATTTCTCCATTCCAATTTCTGACTTAATAGTCGATGTATAAATGGATATTTCTCTGTGATTACAACTTGGAATAATTTAATTTTACACTTGTTTTAATGGTAACATATTGCTGTAAAATAGCGCGTCAGGGATTGTTATTAAGTGCCGTATTTTATGAGTTATGTCTCTTTATTCGCAAAAATTTTAAATTCAAACGTGCGACTTGAATTTTAGGCAGTTTTTTTAATTTTTTTCTGTAAATATGAAACTTAAAGAAAAATCCTGATGCTCTATTTTGGTACATATTGTGCTTAACATGTGGCGAAAATTTTGTATCCTCACTCTTTCTGGTAATTGAGAAAAATCCGAAATACCATTTTTACATAAAAATTAAACATATTTGTGGTTAACATAATTAGGTGCTGGAAATTTCATAAAAAATTTTGCCTTGAGCCTAGAGATATATCTCCTCTATAAATAAAACAAGTGATTGATTCGATTCATTCGCCAATAAATGTTTAATCTTCATTAGAGCAATACTTGTGCAAAAGGTGGAGAGTATCCTTAAGCTGTTTCGTTTTTTCTACAGCCGGTGTCGGTCCTGCTGATTAATCGTGGATTCTGCGCTCCCATCGCCAATGAAGCCAACTTCAAAGTTATCAAGGTATTAATAAGATTTCATAATAGTAATAACAACAATAATAATACAAATAATATTTATTATTAATAATACAATCACCATACAATGTTGCAAATATACGTACAAGAATACAATATTAATATGTAATAATTAATATAATATTATAAATATATAATAATGCGCCGTAACCGCGCGACGACGATCGCCACCATAACCATGGTAACCTGCTCGGTCCACGTGGATTTGACACCAACCGTACAAGGTGTAAAAGCCAATTTCAAAGTTGTCAAGGTATTAGTAATAATAATAACAACAACATCAACAATAATAATATTATTATTATTGTTGCTGTTGTTATAATACATACAGTAAGTATAAGTTACAATAAGTAATAACAATAAGTAATCATGATCGTCGCGGCAACCGCGCGACACTCCTCGCCGTAACCGTGGTAACCGTCTCCCTGCCTCCGTTCGTGCTGCAGCCGTACAAGGTGTACCACCTGGACTCGATGCCGAGTGAGGAGGTCACGGTGACGCGCGACGACGCACTCAAGTACTTAAAGAACATGGTGATGATCCGTCGCATAGAGGGCGCCGCCAGCAACCTCTACAAGGAGAAGATGGTGCGCGGCTTCTGCCACTTGTACTCGGGACAGGTAGGTGGAGCCGCCGGGCGCTCGTCGTCGAGAGGTTGCGTTCGGTAGAGGTCGTCGAGAGGTCGCAGCCGGCTGAAAGGTGCGATAGGATATGTTTACTAGGCACTTCTAATCTAATATATATTTGAGTTCGTATGTATCTATGTATCTATCTATGTATGTATGTATGTATG